TAAATTTTCCCCTCGTAATCCAGTCATCTTTTTATTAGAGACTTAATAGATCTATTAATGAATAGATAATTTAAACCTATTTCTAAAAATCAAATAGGCAAAATGGACGATTTTAAAACATAGAGACACAAATGTATAGCTGAAAACTCATAAACGCTGAAAGAGTATGTTTTCTAAAATATTGGAAAAGGAAGAACATGAACACTTGTGGAGATGGTATCATATGATATGATGGTAAAAAAAAAAAAAGAATAAAAGTAATAATAATATGAAGAAGGAAAAAAGGTAATTCCTTTATTGGGTAATTAAAAAGTGATGATGAGTAACGCATGCCATAGCAAAGGACAGAAAGTGAAAAATAAAAAGTTAGAAGCTGAACGGCTACACCCTACACACCACAGTAAACAGTAAACAGTAACAGTACATTACATGTTTTAACCTGACAGAAAAAAAACTGCAACCTGGCGGGCCCCCCTACATCAATCCCCCATCCCTTTATTTTTCCTTTTTGCACTTAAATTACCACCTCCAAATTTGGTTACTATGATTTAAATCGGTTAAAATCTTCCTTTACATTTGATGTATTAAAAAAATTGGTTAAGATTCCATCTTGAAAAAAAATTAAGAAACTAATATTTTTTTTAAAGATTGGAAGTTCGAACTTCCAACCTTTGACCTCAAGAGAGCGAGTAGACGTCAATTACGGCTGTGTTCATGTTAGCATGTGTGTACCATGTTTTTTACTCACACAGTATAGGGTTTTTTTTTTCTTTTGAAGAAAATACAAAATTAGAACTAACTAACAACACGGAATTTTCTTAAAACATAAACCAAATACTTTGGACAGACGTCTTCTTCATATTTGTGTGAAGCTATACAAGACATCACTACATATACTAGATTGTGGCTAGATTGACGCTCCATAAATTGGCAAGGGAGTGTAATTAGATGTTCAAATTTTGCTTTCTCTACTATAGGTCATCTAAAGCTTCTATTGTTAGATCCACATCAACAGCGTGTTTGAAAATTATTTGTTAAAATCAGCAAAAATTTGAGATATCTATAGTAGAAAAATGTATCACGAACTCAATGTAATAACAACTTCTAATGACAAAGACGATTTATTTAGTTTAACCAAACTATGGAGAAGAAAAATTAAAGCTCATAAAATTTGTAGGTCCAATTTGACACCAAGCCAAAATAAAAGTGACCAATTATATTGTTTGTTTAGTAATTTTCAAAGCTCGAAAATAATAGAGAGCCAAACTTTTTAAACGTTATACGTCAATTAATCAAATTAATTATTGGAAACCCTCAACGTCCAGCTGAAGCATTTAGATTTTCTTAAAGAAATAATAATAAGAGAAAAAATTACACAAAACAAAAAAGAGGGTTTAGTGAAGTAAAATGTTCTGAATGTATAAAATAAAAATGTTCCATTACTGAATTTGTCTCTTTTTAAGATATTGTGAAATGGAATTTGCAGGTCATATATATATATATATATATATATATATATATCTCGAAATAGACAGCTCGCACTGTAGTTTTGAAATATTTCTTCGAACTTTAGAAAGAAAGGACCATTGATGATAATGAAAAATGTACTCATTTGCCATGTTTATTTAAATTATTTTGTTATTTTGCTATTATATATTATATTTTAATTCTAGTTTTAACCTATGAACACATCAACCTGATATAAGAAGGCATCTTATTTACTGTAAAAAAAATAAAATAAAATAACAACAATTATAATTTTTTAATATTGTGTCTGTTATTAGTTTATTTATAGTATATTTAACAAATAAGCATCTCGCGCTAAAAAAACTTTTACTAAGAATACTCTGGATTAGAAAGCTAGCAAAAACTCCCATTAAAATAGACATTTGTAAGTTTAGAAACTAAAATAAAATAGATTAAATTGAAATTGAAATTATATGATTGGATTGCATGTGGGAGTTAAAAATACGGACTAAATATATACAAGACGACCCACCCAAGTAATTCTCAAATTGGTCCGTAACCTTTTAAAATTCTCACTTAGATCATTCCATAAAAATTTAAAACTTTTTTAAAGAAAAGTTAATATTATAAATGAATTACTTTCATATTAATATGTTTAGACACTTGAAAAAACTACTCATATTCCAACCGGCCAATTAATAAAATTATTCCATTTCATCCAAGTGGCATATCAATGTTTCTAAATATGTACTTTAATAATACATCACTCGATATAAATAGATTTTAACATATTTCTTTCATCTGAAGACATAATTAAGAATTTTTTATACTTTAAGAGTAAAATTAAAAATTTTATAAGATATTATATTTAGTTTTTTTAATTTGAAAAAAAAAAGGCGGGGCCTGGGTGGCAGGCGTTTAATTGGGAGATTCGGAGGGAGGAGCATTTGCCAGAAGGAGAAGAGAAGCGTGACACGGTGGCCCACCAGTGACAGCCTGTACATGATTTCCACGTGGATGGTGGGCCCCACTCCTGCCCCTCTGTCCGAACGTGACGTGACCATACCCACTGGCCACTGGGGTATCTTTTTCATTTTCTCTTTTTTTTTTTAATTTATTTAAATAATATTTTCTGCGCGCAACACAACAACAACAGGTTAAAAAATAATAATAATAATAAAACAGGTTAAAAATAAAACTGATATAACAATAATAATAATAATAATAATAATGGTAATTGGATTTTATTTTTTTAAAATTTGATATTGGTTTGTGGTCCCTCCCCCGACAAAAATCTCAAATTCTGTCTCTCCCCCACCGTTTAACGGTCGCGTTCTCGGGGTTGTCGCTCGCCTGCTTTCCCCCGTTTTGCTTCCCCTTTCTCCGCCGCACACTTTTCAGTTAACTATTCCTCAAATTTTAGGTTCAAAACTGCATTTTCATCCCTTATAAAATTGGTTTCTAAATTTTCAATCCTACGTATATTTTTAAATTGGTAATAATTTAAAATTATGTGAAAATTAATGGTCAAATGACCATTTAAAAATATTTCTCAAACCTTAATCATCAAAAATATCAATTTCGAAACTCGAGGCATCAAATAGACACATACTTCAAAATTCAGGGACAAAAAATGCTCATTTTGAAGCTCAAGGTATCAAACAGACAGTTGCTTCAAATCTTAGGGATTAAAAGTGTATTTTTCTTTAACTTTTTTTGTACAATAAATGTAAGAATGAGATATAAAATCTTGAACATCTGTAGAATGAGAAAGTATCTCAACCACTAAACTATACTCATGTTGACATATTTTTAGTATATTTTAATAACACATGGGAGTGAGTTTTTCAACCTTAGGCTCTGTCTCTCTATGTAAATTTCTTTTGAATGGCAATCCAAAATGAATTTGTGCCTTATTTTGAATAGATAATAATGATAATCTCATTTTGATGTTGTGTTGATTTACTTTTCTTTTGTTTTTATTCAATAACATGTGAGAGTAGAGATTCAAACTTATGACCATTTTAATCGAAAATATGTCTTGACCAGATGAGTTATGTTATTTCAAAAAAAGAAAAAAAAAATAGTTAGATTTATGCTTTTGCGAGTATATTGTGTCAATTTACTTATGTGCCTTGTATTTGTGTGTCATGCAGAGATTTGATGTGAGATCATAATACTCGAACAAAAGTATATAGTTATGAAATGACAATACTTTTCTATTACTCGTCACACAAAATTGGACAATTATTAAAAGAATAATAATGGTAAATCTCTATTCTAATCTCATTTTATTATCTCAACTTGTAAAAAACTTAGGACATCAAGAGCAAGTGATGAGTAATTTTATTATCACAACTTGAAAACTTGGGACATCAAGAGCAAGTGATGTGTAGGGGAGTAGTTTCTTTTTAAATGTGGAATAACTTTTTTTACTTATATATATATAAATCAATTGAACCATATGGACACTTTTAATTATACTTAGTTATTAATATTTCCCTTGTGTTGTATTCTTAAGTAAATTACAAACGTTGAAAATAAATAAAAAAAATCTAAAAGTCAATACTTTGCCTTTTAAATTTGATTAAATTTTAACAGTGTATCTTAAAATGAAAAATTACCTAAAAACCACAAAAATAATATATTAAGTTTCTGTTCAACAAAAAAAAAAAAGGTTTCTGTTTGTACACTACCTATTTAGTAATAGTTTTGTCGTTACCAATTATAATTTCCTAAAAAATGACCATTTATTGAGCGTTAGAGATTGGATGATATTATTAATTATCAATAATTAAAGGACACTTCCAATTTGTGGAGAGAAAGAAAAAAGTTGTTAGAAAGAAGGGTATTCTGGTAAAATGAAAATTGGTGAAGGGTATTTATTAATAGGCTAAATTTAATAAAATACCATTAAAATTTTGTCATGTATTTCAAAAATACCCCAATTATTCCAAAAGCTTAACACTGTTGACATTTTATCAAATGTTCCAAAAATACTATTTCAAAAATTGATCGGATTGAATCTGAAACCATGTGATAATTGACGTTACAATTTTACCTTTAAAAGTCTTTTTCATTTTTTTGTTAAGAGAGTTTGCTTCTTCATTATCTCTAAACAATTGTATCACAAACCACCTTATAAAAACGATAGATTTTTATACATTTCCTCTCTTTTTAGATTGAATTCAGACGATAATTATCATGTCGTTTCATATTATGTCACGCAACTTTCAATTGAAAATATCAACAAATATTTACTCAAACGATATTTTTGAAACGTTTTTGAAACTCTTAAAACGTGAGGAATATTTTTGAAACAAATACAAAGTCCAGGGATATTTTTGTAATTTAGTCTTATTAATATTATTAATCCAGAAGGTTTTCACGATGCTTACTAAGGATCCCTAATTTTTCAAATATTATTTTTTTCAAAAATTTATAAATATTTATCTCTGTGAGTGAATGCAGAGCTTAAAATAAAATATTATAAAGAGAGGAGAGAGACAGAGTCGGAATTCAAAATCCAAAATCATTCAGAAAACGCACACAAAAGAAAAAGAGAATTTTTTATTATTTTTTTAATTTTTAATTTCAAAGTTTCATTTCATTGTCCTGTTTACTGATCTCCTCTCGTCTTTTTTTTTTCTCCTGCAAGAGAAGGAGATCCATTTGAAGCCCTGGCCATTTTCCGTCCATGGCGTTCTTATTGGCTTCCACCCAATTTTTCCGGCTTCTATATGATTGTTAATCTCGCCTTTTCTCCCAGTCGTCGCCGGGAAATGGCCGATAAGCCGCCTGCAGATGGGTTCTTAACCTCGCCGCCGCCGGCTAGGGTTTCACTGTGCTCTCGGAATCCCACATAATTTTTCTTTTTGTTATTCTTCAGACGAGATTTGTCCGATCAATCGGGGGCATTTGGAATTAATTGGAGCGTTGAAGGGGGCTGTTGGTTTCGTCTGTTTTAGGGCTCAAATTGATGGCGAAGGGCGGGTTTTTTGTCGATAAGATTCGGAGATGTTTAAGGACGTTGTTCTTTATGGTGGCGATGTTGGCGTCCCTTCTCGTGTCGTCGTTGCCCGTTCTTGTGGCCATCGGAGACATTTTGGTGCCCTGTATTTTGATCTCCAGCTTTACGTGCGTTCGGTGCTACGGCTTCAAAGAGCATTTGCGTCGATACGCTTTCAAAAGTTCTTTGACTGATATCCCTTTTGTTTCCATGATCAGATCTCTCATTATTATCTGTATGATCCCGATTTCCCGATCATCCTTCTATTTCTTCAATTTTAAACCATTTTCCCTTCAAATTGTATTCTGGGTTGTTGAGAAATGAGAGGGATTAGATAATTGTGCGTTAATTCGATTGTCACCGGATTTGGCATTTTGGTAATGTTTATGCTGTTTGATTGCAGGCGTTTATTCAATGTGTGATGGCCCTGCTCTTTCCAATGGCCCTTACCTCGGAACAGTGACTTTATGCTCCTTCATCTCCATTCTTGTTCTTTCTATCAAGGTTTGTGTCTTTACAGTAAACTCCCAAATCGAGGCTGAAGCCCAATCTTCCCCCTCTAGGCAGAAGCTTCATTTAAAGAAATCATGGGGGATGCCGGTTTTGTTCTTGTCTTCAGTAGCCTTTGCCCTTGGACATACGGTGGTGGCATACAGAACAAGCTGCAGAGCACGTAGAAAGCTTCTGTTGCATCGAGTTGACCCAGAAGCTGTAAGTTTTCAAATCTTTAACTACAAAAATAATGGCTTGTTCATTCCTGTTTTTATAAACCTGTAGTGGAGCCTGCTCTCATAAACATCCAATTTTACTTTGGCAGACCCTTTCTTGCAAAAATGTATTCTCTGGCTACCAGAAGATCCCTCGATCTCCCACTCCCTGCGGATCAAGAACTCCAAAGAGTGACAGTGAAATCAAGTGGAAAGTTTCAGGCAATGCCCGGGATGAGAGCGAGCTTCCAGTTAGATTACTCGCTGACATCGATAGTTTGTTCATCACATGCCAAGGGCTTACCATCCATTACAAGATCAGCTTGCCCCGGTCACCACCGCGGTCATTGTCCTCTGCTGCTTTTCTCGAACCACCTAGCTATAGTTGCAACTCCCCAAAGAAAGCCATGGGGAGGCCAGTAGTTGACAGGCATCCATTTAGCGTCTTATCAAAAAACCAACACAATATCCATAGAAGCTATAGCAATCAGTTTCACAGTTCATCTCTCTATGATCCACTATTGGATGGCTCTGCAACAACTTCTCCAGTTCTTTGTGATGAAATTCCTGTGATAAGCCTAGACGAAGTTGAAGAAGAGGAAATGTGCAAAGGTAGCTTAGATGGCAACTCAGAGAGTAATGGGCAATTCGGCATCGTCTTGGTGCACGGTTTTGGAGGAGGAGTGTTCTCATGGAGACATGTGATGGGGGTGCTTGCAAGGCAGACCGGTTGCAAAGTTGCTGCTTACGATCGGCCCGGTTGGGGATTAACTTCAAGGCTCCGTGCTGAAGACTGGGAAGAAAAAGAATTGCCTAATCCCTACAAGCTTGAAAGTCAGGTAATGAAAATCATGCATTTTTCATTTTTTTGTAGCGCCTGTAGAGCTTCTGGTTGTAATTGATTGGGTGCTCTGCATGTTCTTTTTTCTGGCAGAGACCTGTAGAGTTACTGCTTGTGATTGGGGCACTCTGCAATTTTACTGTCTTTTACAGTGAAAAGGGAAGGGTCTACTATTGAAGTATAGATCTCACTTTGCTGTTGTAAAATTGTCTTCCTGTGTTTTCTGTCTCCAGTATTTAATAACTGCCTCAAATCCTATTTTTGTTGGTTTACCCGAAATTTGTTTGGAAATCTGCATGTAGCCATCACATGTGGCTTTTAAATTATTGTTTACATAGACAATAATTGATGGGATAAATGAACAAAAGATGGTATCGGGTCTGTTTTAATCAAGAAAATAGGTATATGTTGTTGGTGTGAATTGGGTTTCTTGTATGGAATATGAAATGAATGGCTGCTGTTATTTTCAGGTGGAGTTGCTGCTTTCATTTTGCTCGGAGATGGGGTTTTCTTCGGTGGTGTTAGTGGGTCACGACGACGGAGGTGTGCTTGCTCTCAAGGCAGCGGAAAGGCTTAGAGGATCAATAAACGCATTCAATGTATAAATTTTGAAGTTGTTGAATGATAAATTTAAATTGGTTAAGTGGAAAAATAGAATTGAGAAGTTTGTGAATTTGGGTGCAGGTTTGGATTCGAGGGGTGGTGTTGCTGAGTGTGAGCTTATCAAGAGAGGTGGTTCCTGGGTTCGCGAGGATTCTGCTGAGAACATCGCTGGGGAAGAAGCACCTGGTTCGGCCTCTGCTGCGAACTGAAATAACTCAAGTGGTGAACCGCCGTGCCTGGTACGATGCTTCCAAGCTAACCACCGAGGTCCTAAATCTCTATAAGGTAACATACATTACATTCATTATATATACCCCCAAAAGTTTCAAGATGATTGGAATGATAGATATGATGTTGAAGCAGACGCCGCTGTGTGTGGAAGGGTGGGATGAAGCGCTGCATGAGATAGCGAGATTGTCTTACGAGACGTTTCTCTCTCCGCAAAATGCGGAAGCGTTGTTGAAGGCGGTGGAAGAGATGCCAGTGCTCGTCGTGGGTGGAGTTGAGGATGCTCTCGTCTCTCTCAACACTTCTCAAGCATTGGCTTTCAAACTCCGTAATTCTGTACGTCTCTCTCCCTCCTCTCTACTAGTTCCGTTTATCTCGTTTAAAACCAACCAAAATTACAACTATGATCATTTCTATACTTTCATCATTGTACCAAATATTAGATATAGACTGAGATATAAGTTCATGTTCCACATCTAACAAAAAACTTAGTTTTTGTCATAGTTTTATTTGAATGAATCAATGTTTACGAGATTATTTATAAATGGTAATGCATGCTTGCAGAGACTTATAACGATATCTGGATGCGGACATCTTCCACACGAGGAATGCCCGAGCGCCTTACTCGCTGCACTCTCACCCTTCATCTCCAGAATTTTGCAGAAGCCCGACTCCTCCGACAACACCACCACCATCACCATCCAATAATACAAACAGTCCCCCCATCCTCCTTTCTTCAATTATAGATTAAAAAAAACAAGATAGATAGATTCGCAATCCATCAGCACACCAGGGTTGGGTTCCTTTTCCTCCCTCCATCCCTCCTTTAGACCCTTTTTTTCTCTTTTTCTTCTTATCTAAGAACCATCACCCACAAGAAAATAGGCAAAAAAAAGTCATTTCTTTGGGTTGAGTTTTTGAGGCCCTTTTTATCATCCCCCAACCAAACCAAAAAGTCCACAAGGGTTGTCCTATGTATGTTGTAGAGTCTGTCTTTCCCCTTCTCCCATTCTCTTTTCTCTGAACCATATTGTTATTCCCACCATGTGTTGTGCAGATAACCCCCCTATAATTTGTACATTTTTTGTTCTAGACATTGATTAGATTTCGAATCCCAATCAATTTATCCAACACACGTTGAATGGAAATGGTAAATAGAAGTGGCATAGAGGAAGATGAATGAATAATGAGAAGTCAATTACATTGGGGTAATATGGATGGATAGTGGTCTCAACGCAACACAAAGTCAGAAAACAGACTCTAAAAATTAAATATTTTGATCTTAGAACTTACAAGACGAGAAAAATATCATATCTCCTCCCCCAACCAAATGGATAGAGCAATATCACAAAAGTAGATCATAATGTGACACTAAATTAGACACACGACAAAGACACATGACAACCATATGACACTCAGCTAAACTGTAAGATTGAACATAAAAAAAACCGAAGTAGACTAACTGAGACAACCTATTCCTTGGAGGATTTATTAATGAGTGACTTGTGGATGTGAGGGATGACTCCACCCCCAGCAATGGTTCCTTTGATCAGTGTGTCGAGCTCCTCGTCTCCTCTTATTGCAAGCTGCAAATGCCTCGGTGTTATACGCTTCACCTTCAGATCCTTGCTTGCATTCCCGGCCAGCTCCAACACTTCTGCAGTCAGGTACTCCAAGATTGCTGCTGTGTATACAGCTGCTGTGGCCCCGACCCGTCCGTTTGCAGCAACTCTTGATTTCAGTTGCCGGTGAACCCTACCCACTGGAAACTGCATCAGGCAAATCCAACACCATGGCAAAACAGTGAGAAATGCAAGAAAATTTAAAGAGGGAAAAGCAGTCCTTGAAAATTTTCAAACGCCGCATATTCATCTGTTTCATTGACATTATCAACCCAGCCACTAGACAGAAGTTGCATACTGATCAAAATGAGAAAAGTAGATTTAAGAAAACAAAAAGAAAGCAAGAAAAATTTATGACAAAACTCAATAAAAGCTTAACTAGGCAGATAAACTACATATATATATGTATGCACTGAACCACTTCCTCAATGGTGTGTAACATCACTGGCCAAAAAGACAACATTGTTTACCGATCACGTCACGCCCAAATTCCCAATACGATATCAAAAGTCTAAATTAGTTTTATCCACATACACACAGCTTCAATACAAGTTTTCTTAAGTCCTCTCGTGATACGAAATAGTACGTTGGCAATCCAAAGAGCACAAGAAGAATCAGGAGGGTAACCTCTACCAAAATCAAAATATAATAAAATTCTCCAATTGAATTGAATCGTAAAAGAAGGATCTTTATTAAAAAAATTAAAAGGACTGAAAACGCCATCCACAGGCTATAGTAAAAAATAATCTGCTTCTTGACCAATCTAGAACCAATGTTGTACGGCCTTGAAAATTAAAAATTCAGAGTTCCATCATTTGCTCCAATTGTCCATCCATAGCTTAAACCTTCTACCATCTCCCACAGACATCTAGGCTGGCTTTAATAGTCATTCCTAGTTTTTTATGACTGATGACCAATAACTTCTACTAAACCACTGTCGTTAAGACCCAAAAGATTTCTAGACATATTTTTCAACGATGTTCTATCTTATGCCACAATTAGAGTGTTCTTTGATCAAATGTCTCCATGACCATTTGCAGATCAAAGCTGTATTTTTCAACCTTATGATGCCAACTTCCAGTTCCATAAAAAGTTCCTCATAATCTTATTCGCCAACACTGTCATTGGTAGAAAGTTTAGAAGGCAGTGTAAGAATATTGGTTAAAACAGCTTGGATCTCCATTAGTCTTCCATATTTTGATTTTTGAAAGATACAGGTATCCAATACTCTAGTGCAAACGCTGCACAACTTCATCAGTCACTGAATTTTCACAAATTTTGGCTACCGCACCAAGAGGTCATTTGAGGTAAACATAAGCCAAGAAAAAGCTTTGAATGAAAGATTTAAAGTATCTTCCAAACAATGAATACCTGCAATGACGTCTAAGAAAGGTTAGCTAGCCCTCATCCCCTAAAAGCTTACAAAAAAATTCTGCAAAGCATTGAATATACTCTAAAATCCTCTTAAAGCTTGGCTTCATTATTAAAGATAGTCAGAAGTGTCCAGCAATATTTCAATTGGGGGCACTATTTAGACCTTAACCTTCCTCTCCTGGTTGAGGGAAAGCTTTTGTTCTGCAGTGATAAAACCCACCACATTCTCCATACCATGATATAAGTCCTCCATACAATCTATCTTCCACACTTACTTTGACGAGAAACCAAAATCTCATTCAGATGGATGAAAACAAAAGGTTAAACCAAAAGGGAGCTACAAAACAATGAACAACAAAACTATATGAAGAGACGCTAATTCTTAAGAATTAGAAAGAAAATTAACTACGGAAGTGTTTAGTGTTAGACTATACTCAAAGGGAGCCATAAAAGTGGGCCAAGGGCCAAGGCTCACACCTCCTCCCAGCTCCTATGCCCTGAAAAATTCTTTTGTTCCTCTAGAGAAAAATTTTCCACAAGATAGCCAAAAGGGCCACCTAACAAAAGAATCGCTTATAAGGGTAATAATGTCTTCCTTTAATCAAACTAAAGGGAGTTTTTTTTGTTTTTGATAATACAATCAACCACCTCACAAAAGGTTTCAAAAACCACACAAACCAGGCTAATACAACACATACTCATACTCATACCAAAGGAAGAAAAATCATCTAGGGGCAGTGGTGCAAGGCAAGGAGTGGATTGGCATGGAGTGGATGCTCGATTGAGCAGTTGCCGTGAAAAAAGAAACACAATAGAAGCAAGAAAAATAGTTGATGAAAATAGGAACAAATCTAAAGGTCTCTGCAACCAACAGAAAGCATGGTTGGAACAGGAAGCATGTTGGCAAGGCAACAACGAAATAAGGAGATATGAAGAAAAGGGAGAGAGGTCAAAGAAACCCTGCCTTTGATTTAAATGCACACACACCTTCTCACAATCAAGAAAGTTTTAGAGAGGAAGATATTATAGCAATGGAGGCAGAAACAATGCAAGTGAGAAGGGAGATTACTAGCTAGAGCATCATTGATATTGAAGCAAGGGATGAGAAGATGGCAGCTTTGGAGGTGGGTCTGGATGAGGTTGGTCAAGAAAGTAAGGAGGGAAATAGGAAGGGGAGAGGAGGAAAGAACCTACAATCAAGATCGTAGAGGAAAGTTGGGTCATTGGCAGGGCTGGTGAAGTTTGGGACACAACCACCTCTCCATAGGCCAAATTTAAAAAGAATTGTTGAGAATCATAAGACTAGGTCCTGAAGAGTTCAAAGGCTAGATGTTATAACACACTAAGTTCTGGCCCGAGCATTTTATTACAGATTATTTGCAACAGCCAACTAGTTTTCTATCTCGAGGAGGATTGTACCCATGGACTAGAGGAATGGATTGAATTTAGTTACAAAAATAAGAGTGACAAAGAGAGAGATGGGAGAAAAATTTTCAACACTTCTTTATTTGTGCTCTGTATACAATTCTTTAATTTTCATCGGGAGATCAGGTCAAACACACCTTGGGGAAAAAGTGTATTTCAATACCACTAAGATAGATCATAGATGTTAGAATAGAAATATTATTATGATATTAAGGGCATATAAGTCATTGACTAAAGAGTTAGTTAGTAAAGGGCAGTTAAGAATTGTCCTGAGTTTCTCAAATTACTTGGATATTTGCTGTATTTTTATGATTTTCAAGTTTTCAACACAATTTCCAGTTCAATGCCTTGGTTTCTATCACTATCAGTAGGTAAGCAACAAAGCACCACTAACAAGTTCTCTAATTTCCTTGAGAACTGTGAACCAATGACTACTCTATTAATATTGTACACATGCTTAATACCTAACTTGTTTTGGAATACTTCAATCAACTCTCGACGTACAACAATGTTAGTCTTAGTCTTACAGCCATTCTTTCCAACCGTTTCATCACCTCAGTTGCAGGAGAACTTCTCCAGCCACCAAATAACACAACTAACCAAGATTTACAAAAGAAAAATGTCCTTAAAGGGGTCCCACAGCAACTCTTACCGAATACTACAGCATGCACCTACTTCTAACATCAAATAGAAGGATATGGAGCTGCCCGACTAAAGATTCTCAGACGACCCACCTCCAAAACATTCACCATAGTCGATCTCATGCTGCTTCTGCTCCACAAACCAAAACCCATGACAAAACGAACTCAGAAGTCGCCATATACTACTCAACAGAGACGAAACCAAGAAACACGGGGAGCAGAGAGGACCCATCTGTAATAAACAACTATATACGTCTCCACGCGAGAATTTTAAATTAAAGAAACCCCCCAATGTCTAAACTCCGAGGCTTGGAAATCTCGAAACGCATCTAAATTAGAAAAAATTGTAGCTTTCTCGGTCAAACAAGCATGGGCCTCAAACAAGCGACATACACACAGATCCACACAAGACCCATAGAAATAACGTAGAAACACAAGTTTAGAGTAGAGAAAGAGAGAGAGACCTGGAGACCAGCGCGAGAGGAGCGAGAAACGGGCTTCTTTTTATCCTTGTCCTTGTTGTTGGAGGCAGATTTGCCCATTATCAGACCCTTGGCTCCCTTCCCCGACATTTTGCAGCCAAAAAATTAGGGTTCCTCTCCCTTTCAGTGCAGGAATTTGGAAGACGGATTTTCGAAGAGAGAAAAAAGAACCGATAAGGGAGACGGCGAGCGAGGGAAGATAAAAAGTAAGTAATACCCCCCTCGATAACTCGACGAAGACTTCGAGATTCAGTTTTTTCTCACCCTTTTTTACCAAAATGCCCTTCCGATTTTTCCAAAATTACTACCCCGTCCCTTTGTACACTCCCGTTCATTCCTTTTGGTTTTTGTGATTTTGATAAAATAAAATCCAATTTTTATGCACGAGCGCCTTCTTTTATATTTGTTTTTGGAAAAAAAAAAAGAAAAAAAACCTTGAAAATGTGAAAACGTGAAAATGCATTTTTTAAGTACTTAGAAGCGATAATATAGGTTAGATTACAACGTTGGTTGGTTATTGAACTTTACCATTTGTATCTAAAGCTATTGGAGTTTAAAAAGTTTTCAGTATATATGGTTGAGGGAGAAACTCGAGTATCTAAAATGTGAGGTTCTAGGGATGACAGGTGTAAGTGAAACCACCGAGGAAGAGGACCATACGAGCGAGGAGGACGAAGGTTGCACGTCTGCTAGGCGGTAGACGTGTTGCGTGATGTAGATGACGGTTTGCATAAAGGATAGATTGATTGCTGGGTGTTAGAATGTCCACCGTGCATCAATAATGTCCTTGCCTGACCGTCTACACCCTGTTACTGCGAGCAGCACCGCTGCACCATGTACAAGTGTCCTCCCTGGTTGGCCAGGAACACTTGTAAATGGGGAAGACCACCACCACTAAAAAATTTGTCACTCATCCCATAAGGTGCTCTTTTATCTTTACTTTGATTACTAACTTGAGCATCGAAGCTATTTAAGTAGGACACTACACCGATGATCGTTGTTACAGACTCATTTGTCCGATGACACTCTGTTTCGAATGATACGTAGAACCCTCCAAAACTCGCCATCAATACATGTTATTGATACAGAAATTTAGCCTAGCTATCAAAAATTTAACAATGAAAAATAATAAATATATGAATGCTTTATTTTCCCAACAAAAAAAAAAGAGATATGCTCAAAATCTATTTTACAGAATTTTGAGTATATGAAATGATTCCTTACTATATATTAAATCGATATGTCAATTAAGTTTAGGTTTTTTATGCTCAAAATCTATTGTAATATAATGTTGTTAAAGAGACCGAAAAACTCTAACTTGATTTGTTGTCATATTAATATTATTAGAAAAACTTTTTTTTTTAACAGGAATAAACAAAATTTGTTAAAAACATAAAATTTACAACGTGGACTGCATGCTGAATCCCTTCTGACATCTTGTAGAAACCAATTGAAAAAGTGAGAGAAATAACTCATACTCGAGTTTGTGGAAATTACAGCTTGGGAAACTATGGTATGAGATGAGAAATTAGCCTTTCTAGAAATGTGTTCGCAAAGTATTTCTCTAATAATTGAAGAAGGAACAATACGAATATCTCTTATCCATGTTCCATTATTCGTCGATATTTTTAATGTCTCCATAAATCATCTTTACGGCAAGTAAATAGTCTAACTCGATTACAATCTAATTGACATTAAGCTGCGAAGCAAGCTGGACGCCCTCTAAAATTGAGAAGAACTCCACTCGAAGAGGCAAATAGGATGTGGGAAGAGCCTTTGTTAGAGCACCGACAACGATGTCATTCTCGTATAAAAAATATTGATAAATGTAAGTATTCTTATAAATTAATTAATGAATCAAAGAGATAGTGTTTTGTTGTAGCTAAAAAACAAGGTGGTTTTTATAAAACCATTTTTATTGATAGAGGTAGAACTTCTACTTCGTGGGGGTGACAAATTATAGGTGTCGGAAGAAATGTGAAATTCACTTCAGTACCTTAGAAAAGTGAGAACTGCACATTTGTAAATTCGTTAAAAGATAGTTATAAAATCTCTACTCTTTAATAAAAATTAGTCATGGATTTCTTTCCACTTTTCGTGACATCCAAAAAACGTCACAAAGGACGAAAAAAATCTATAAAATATTCGTCTTTCCCTAAAAAAAAAAAGCACCTCAAACCTTTTGCCACACCTTTTAAGTGTCATATAAATATCAACTTTTTTTTTACGTTTCGTGATGCTTAAAGATTGTCATAAATGTACGAAAATTTGAAAAACTCCGTGTTTTCTTACTAAAATTGCGCCTCCAGCATTTTATGACATTTTTTAACTGTCATGGAATCCCAATACAGTTAAAAAAATGTTACAAATAATGGAAAAATTCGTAGATCTCTATTTTCCCGTCAAAATCACGCCTCAATCATATAATGACAATTTTTAAGTGTCGTTAAATCAATAAATTTATTTCAATTTTCGTGACATTTTTAAATGGTTATAGATTTATAAAAATTTGAAAATTATCGTTTTTTTCCATCAGAGTTGCACTTTAAGCATTTATGGCAGTTAATCTTTTTTCTAGCACTTTTTACCATTCACAACTTTTGTTGAATACCATATCTAGTGTAGTCGTTAGTCTATAATTCTTAAATATTTTTAATATGGAATATTGATCAAATTTTAACATTGCCAAGAAATTGCAATATTACTATAATCATAGAATAGTTCTTATGATCAAAGCATTGTTTAGTTTTTCAAAAGTCAAAACTTCAAATTCCTCCCTCTCTTTTTAAACTTAAAAAGAAAATAATTATAATTAAGTTATTACTATTTAAGCACAATTTAATTAATTAAGGGTCAACTTGAATATAGTCGAACACTCAAGACATCTGTACGTTCTTCAAAAGTTGTAGGTTCAAATTCTCACTCGTTCATGTAACGTAGCATGTTTGAAAAAAAAAAAACTAGTTAAAACATGAATAATTTAACTTACTTATAGGTTGATGGTTGAAATATTCACCCATATTTTTTATATAAAAAATATTAATTTTGTGAAGTTAAAGTTTTTTAATAACAACTAATTAGTTACGGTTTGTTCACCAATTTTAGTTGATTTAAAGTTAAATTCCAAAATTTATAATTTAATCCTTATGATTTTAAGAGTTATAATTCAGTACTTACCATTCACACTCAGCCTCAATATGGTTTCCATAATTCTAAAAATTTAAGTTTAGTTAGAACTAAAAAGTAGGGATGACAAAAAAAAAAAACTCGTCGGACCTGATCCCTACAGTACTCGATCTAGTCGGGTCGAGAATCATCGATTTGATCGAGGATGGGTCAAACCAAGGATTCTATTTGGGTTCCCATCGGGATGGGGTGGGGATGGGGGAGGTCCTGCCCCGTCTCCCTCCCCGTTCCTGCCCGTTTAATATCTTATTAATATTTTATATTTTTATATATAGTAGTATAAATATATATGATTTATTATATATACTTTTATAACTTTTTAACAAAAAGTCTAACTCCAATTTCTTCTTGTATGAGTAGTAGTCCAATTCTTTTTATAGATCCTTTTCAAAAACTAACCAATGTTGTTCTAAAAAAAACTAACAAATGAAAGTATATATATCGGGGACAGTATCTCGCGGGAAACCCATTCCCGATCGAGAAATCCCCATCCTAAAATTTAAAAGACGGAGGTGGGGATGGGGAAAATTTCCAACGCGGCAGGGATGAGGATGACCCCAACCCCGCACTATTCCTATCCCTACTAAAAAGTAGTTAATAATTTATTGTAGTTAATAAAAATTATTTTTTACTCAATAGAAAAATCTACCTTTTTTTTTATACTCAAATCCAAATCTCTAATATGACTTATAAGTAGCTAACACAATTACTCAAACCAGAAAACATTAAAAAAAAAAACCGTATCTCATATTAAACACGGTAACAAAAAACACAAATTGGAAGAAGTGTGACAACTCCATACAGACCAAATTAAAACTATAAGAACTGATAAAATAGAAAATTATAGGTTAAAATACTTTTCGTCTATGTACTTTTAAGTTTTGGTTCAATTTGGTCTATGTGCTTTCAAAATGTTTATTTTGGTTCTTCTACTTTTAATTTTTGTTCATTTTAGTTCTTATACTTTTCAAATATTTTGTCCTACTATGGTGACTATTTTTGTCTTTATTTGCAAATTTTGTACAAAAATTCTGGAAATATTTTAATATAAAATTATACTTACATCTCAAGAAAAATATTGGATGTATTGTCATGTTGAAATTGTGATAGCAAAAATAAGAATAAAAATAGAATTAAGAGACTAAAAAGGAAACCTTTTTAAAGTATAGTAACAAAAACGAACGTTTTGAGAGGATATAGACTAAAATAACCAAAATTAAGATTACATTGATCAAAATAAACGTTTTAAAAATATATAGACAAAAATGAACCAAAACGAAATCAAACTAATATTTTAATAAAAGATTTTAAAACTATCACGGACATTGAAAAATCCACTCAAACCATAAAAATCAAATTTATAATTTAACTCAAATTTACTTTTTTTTTTCTTTCATCGGAATCCATAATCTTACCATTTACCATTTCGCACATCATTTTTTTAGTACAATTATTTGGCACACCATAATATATTATTTTATTATGTTGATCCCACATTTTTAAGGGTGTTGATTTAGCAAACAATCAAACAATAATACCAAAAGTTTTCCATTACACATCATTCAATTATATATTTGTTTTCCCTCGAAAAAAATTATATATTTGTATTTTTGTTGGGAAAAAAATGAAAAAACAATCTAATATTATTGGCGTGGTGGGCCCCAAACGTAATAGTCAAATAAAAGTTCGCAAAAGTAGCCGAAATCTCAAAAAGCAAAATGCACCACCTTCATAATAATATTAATTAGTACAGTGGAGTGGGCCCCACGCCACGTCATCCTATGCGCACCTCCACGTACACCAACCTTATCCACTTCCACCCCTTTTTCCCGCTCTCTTCCGCTTCCTACGCCTTACTTTCAAATTTTCATTCCCATTATACCCTTCTGGTCAACCCTCCCAGTCCTTCAGACAGTTTCACGTGCTTCTGAAGCACCAGATCAAAACCCACCTCCGCTCCTCCGTTAAATACCGTCTTCCGTATATTTCATCGTTTTATCTTTATCCTCCTTTTTCTCTTTCTTTCACTTTCCCAATCTTTTTACCCTTCTGAGTTTTTGCCTCTCCAATGGCGACCAATCTCCCCGTTTTCCACCCCCTTCCGATCAGAGCTTCTTCTTCTTCCTCTGCAAAATCCGAGCCTAATCGCCGGAAGGCCGCCGCGCCGAAGTGGTGGTCGCCGATCTTCGGATGGTCGTCCGAGCCGGACTACGTCGCCGGTTCCGCCGCCGAGCCGGAGCACGAGACCGGACGAGTGAGATCCAGATTCACGCCCGGCTGCTTCACGGAGGAGAAGGCGAAGCTGCTCCGCATGAAGACGCTGGAGAGCTCCACATTCCATGATATTATGTACCATTCCGCGATCGCGTCGCGTCTCGCCTCCGATTTGTCGGACAGATCAGCCAAGAATTAGATCTACGAGCTTGCTTACGCAGTGAGGTAATGTTTTTTTCGAAATCTGTACTGCTTTTTCTTTTTTCTTTTGTAAATCGTCGAAACGACCTAATTTGGGGGAAGAAGGCGAATCTCTCTTTCCGAATAAATTTACCTCTTCGTTTGCCTTCAAGATCATTGTGTAGATTGCAAAACGAAATGCAACTATTTTGCGTCTGATTGTTGATTGACGACGATTGATTCTGGACTTTGTTTTCTGATTTTACTCTCATTCTATATGCGTCGTAGAGGTAGATCACACATCTTGATGCCGGCGGCCTTGAAATCCACGCCGGCCGTTGTTATTCTACAATTAAACAATTAAAATGATTACCAAAATCAAATGTATTCTCCCTGCCCTAACGATTTCTACACGGAGGTAAATTTAATGGAGTCGAAAAAGGATTTGAGTTAATGAGATTTTTAAGTATCATCTTAATGGATAATTTACATAATTTTTAGCCATAGTTCTTTCGCTGTTTAAGTTCTAATCTTAATTGGACTAGTCGTAAAACGAAGAGGAAGCTAAGATAATTCTTCTGTACTGTGAAGGATCTAGTTTCGGATAAACAGAATCCTTGTTTCACCAGGGAGAGAATATTACAATTGTTGTTCTTTTATGAGAGCTATATTTTAAATAAAATATTTAAATACTATTTTCTATCTATTTTGATCTATAGAAGTGATTATTCCCGTCCCTCATTTTAACTTTTATTTAATTTTTTTCCATCACAACTTTACCATAATATTTCAAGATAGACAAAATTTTATATTAAGATTTTAATTAAAAGTCCTAACATCTATTTTTTAAATAAGTTTTGAACTTTCGACCTCGGAAAGTCGGAAAGGCAGCCACCTGACCTTATTTCCTCTCAAGTAACCTTAATCAATTTGGATCAATGAATCATCTATGATGGTTAAAAGAAGAATTATTTGTTACTCGGCTATGTTTGTGATGGTTGTATAGTCAAGTGTGTTTGGATTCAAATAAAATGATTTTAGGTATGTATATTTTATATGCTCATGTTTATATGGCTTTTGTTTTCAAAATCAATTGGAGAACAAATAATATGAAATTATTAAATAAGAATATTATTTTTTATTTGAGAAAATTTGTTTAAGCACAAATAAATAGTTTATTTTTCCCGACAATATGTGAAAATAGTTGGATAATTAAAATTCTATCATTGTTATTTCAGAAATAAAACCTTAGTATATGGTTTTTTTTTTCAATTAACTTAACTCAAAGCCTAAGTCATTTAAATGAGATACATTTTTATAGAAAAGTATTATTTTAACTCAATGATTAATTTCAATTTGCATTGTAATACTCAGAAAAAAAAAGAAGAAGAAAAAAGAATTGCATTGTATAATGTATACTATTTTAAAAAAAAAGAATAATCCATGCTCTTAATAATGTCTCGTGGAGGGTGATGTTTATATAATTCAATACTTAATTTGCTTTAATAATAATAATAACATAATCTTTCCTCTTAAAAAAATAAATAAATAATAAAAAATAATTCTTTAGATTAAATAATCTGGCTAGTTATTTTCAAATTATATCGCCATTAACAGGAATCTTGATGACAAACGTACACGAGTAATAATGCTAAATTAAGCAAAATTAACTAATTTTTGGCGTGTCTAGATGTTAGGTTAAGAAATGGTTGTGGTCCATTTTAATAATTTTTGGGTTGTTAATTTATTCAATCTAATTAATTCAATCAAATTATGTAAGATTAATTTTAGTTAGCTTGTTAAAGTGATATTATGCCGTTTGTTAATATTTTTCTTTTTTTTCCCTCTTTTTTAATAAATAAAAATATAATTGTGTTGGTTAATGGTTTTTTTTTTAATTTCTTGTTCTCTAAACTTTTAAAATAAAAAGTGTAAAGTTTTTATATAAAAATTAATTTTTAAAATTAAATCTTAAAAAAAATTATGTCATATATGTATTTATTTAATATTTAATGTGCATTTTATAAGTTGATAATAATAAAATTATAATTTATTTATAATTTGAAAAAAAAATTGAAAATGGAAATAAAAAACAATAACTTGATCTTTGTTGTTTTTTAAAATTTCCATACTGACGCGTCCTAAAAATGATAAATGAGAAACAAAAAGAAATTATGGAGTGAAAACTAGAAATAAAAAATGGGAACATTACCAAACAAATGTTTAAAGCTAGTTTGGTAACATTTCTGTTTCTTGTTTCTCGTTTTCAATCTTATTAATAGATTTAAGCATTTGACAACTATTTCTTGTTTCTCAATATTTTAGAAACATTCTCAAAATGGTATAGAAATTTTGGAAACAACATAAACAAGTTTATTGTTTATCGTTTCGTTTCCAATTTGTTTCAAAAATATAAATAAAAGTATTGTTTTATCATTATTGAATTCATGAATGTTGAGGTTATATAATTCTATTTTTATTACTAAAAAAGAGGAAATAGAAACATTAAACAAAAACGTTACCAAATGGACCCTCAATAACGAGTTTTTATATTCGGGTTGGTATCCAAGGCGTGATATGTAAGTTGTTATATTCAAGTTGATTTTGGCAAAAATCAGTACTAAAAAAACTTCAATTTAAGAAAGGAAAAGAAAAACACCAAAACTAAGATGAATTGTTTGAAGACTAAATCAAACAGGCTTGGCAAGATAACAACCCTTTAACAAAATCAAAATCACCCAAATGGCAAATTTCATCCCATTCAAACTCAAATGACTATTTTTCAATTTGATAGTTTATAAATCGAGATGATTAAAAAGTACACTCCAAATCAACTAAATACCGTTGGTAATGTGACATGGAAAAAAGGGTTAACTATCTACTAAAAGAATGTAAACCAGGACCAAAAATCAATTATTTTTCTTGAAAATAACATTGGATAACAAAGTTGAAACTTGTCAACCTGAATGTAGTTTAGAAAAGAAGGTGTCACTAAATAAATAGCAAATTTGGATGGAGTCTTGCTTGAGAGGAACTTTGCTTGCATCAGTTTTTAGCAGTCTAATTTAGTGAGCAGCACTAAATCTTTCTTTCAACTTAATAGTCAGGTCTAGTGAGATTGAATCATTTCTTGTGATTCAAAAGAAAAGAATGAAGCAGACCAAAGCGAGTGAAAGTTGCTCAAATCTTTTTGGTCTAAAAAACTAATTAAGACATCAATCTTCGACTAAAATGTTGTAAGTTCGAATCTCCACTCCCAAATATTGTATTAGAAAACAAAAAACAAAGTTGAAATTTATCAAAATGAACATATGATAATTGACATCTATTATTTTGCTTGAAGTTAAACTCTCTATCCCAATATGTTATATAAAAAGCAAAGTTGAAACTTGAGATTGAAGCACAAAGATATTTTACCAAAAAGAAAAAGATAATGATAATAATGACGACAGCCCACAGATCCTGATGGACCAATTGGCGGTTTCAAAAGTCTTCAAGAAAATTATTAATGAAACTAAATCACTTTCCAATTCATTTATTGGCTAATCTAACCTCTTAGGTAGGAATTAGGGGTTTAAGAAACCCACCCAAGCCGTTAGCTATACTAAGACTGGCAGAGTCAATTAAAACTTAATTGTAATATTATTTAAGAACGATATGGTAATCAAAAGAAAATTCATAGAGATAGAGTAGGTATATGCAAACTCAAAATTATATTCAAAAGGGGAGATTTTGATAAGTTTGAGTTTAGGTTAATACCCCATAATTAATAATCAATTTCATCATTAATAAAAACTCACATCATCCCTCATCCATGAGATAATTCTTCTGTCCTACATTATTCTTAAACATATTTCAAACGTTAATAAACAGACACATGAGAATAAATCAAGAGTTTGAAGATTGAACCAATTTACAGAAGAATTTACATGTAATCAAATTCACAAGCAGTGGAGAAGGAAGCAATGCCTGAGACAAAATCAGCAGCTGACTCTGGCCTGAAGCCTTTGCCTGCAACAATGAGAAGCTGAGCATTCTCATTGAACTTTGAAGCTTAATCTTAATCTTTCATTTTGAGTTGCTCAGCAGCTTCAGAAAACTAAATCATTCTTTCCAGACAAATCAAATTTTAATCATCCAACAGATTTCCCAACAATAAGAATTTGACGAGCAGAAAATTCGACATTCATCATCAGCGATAGATAAGCTACTTAGATCTGCTATTCTTCTCCTTACCCAGTTCCTTTACCAACTGATCAGAAGAGGATTATGAAAGATCAAAGCTATCTCTGTTCGCTGACAAAATCATCAGCTGTTTGGTAGATTGCAGATAGAACAAACATAATGCTTCTCTTCATCACTTCAGTAATGCAATGTGATGGGGACAGGTAATTGCCCATCAAAACCTGTGGACTTTCCCCCTGAAAAGATCTTAGCCACAATGTTATTCACAATACAAATTTCTACAGCATAAAGTTTTTAGTTACTTTATAAAAAGAACACTCTCCTTCCCCAACTGCAGACTTTCTTCAGTGTTTCAAACCATACAACAATCTAATAGCAGTTGCATCCTACAGAGAATTTACTTTTACCTGGTTTTCAGAGTAACCCAAATGAATTGCAACCCCACAAGACAGAGAGAGAGGAGGCTAGATTTTGATCAGGAGTCTCTATATAACCAGTGTTTAATTTAAGTTCTACAACATAATGCAGAAAAATGTTTAGATGCTGGGTTTTTTTAAAGTTTTTTTCGTAGAACTAATTCATTTCAGTTATCAAGTTTCATCTCTAGTGGTATCAAACATGATTAAATTACTCACTCCAAGAAAGCCTCAAAAAGCAAGAGATTACTCATCAAGTGGCTTGCCGTATGCATATTTGTGGGGCTGAATATAATCCAGTCACCATCTTGAGACTCTCCAGAAGCCCACAAAGCCTCCAAATTATTCCATATCTTATCAAGGGGAAAGTGCCCATATGTTCCTCAAATGAAGTGCCATGGGCTGCCGAGGACATTATAAGATTAGAATGTATACAACACAATGAGTACACTGTTTATCCAAAGCAGATAAGAGGAAATATAAGAACCCTTCAGATGAAGAGGACAAATTTTACTCAAGGAGGATAGCTCTTGAGAAATCTTCCTAGTATTGTAAATCTATTTCAAATCCTAGCAGAAAAATGCAACCAAACAGAGCAGCTCAGCTAAACAAAAGAGTGATATCGATATTACAAGAAGAAAAATGTATTACTAAGAACAAAGTGCAATTCTCATTTCTCAATATTATGTACAAACGAATAGGGTAGTTCCCAAGTTTTCAGATTAATGATGCACAATGAGAACTTACTCCATTGCATGATGTCTAGGGATACAGAAGTAAAAATTTAAAACAAAAATAAACGTTCCTATCAATCATATGAATGTCTTTTATTAGCAGACATTAGATTTCTCAGCTCGATCAAATATTCATCATTGGATATGTGAAGTGAAGCACGAATGTTTGACACCTGTCCTTCGTCTTCCCAACTTAAAGGTCCAGAAGCATACAATGCCCTAATAAAAGAACGAAATACGCTTAGCTCTGACCTGTGGGATTTAGATACTACTTCTTCATTAGAGCTTGAATCTCCTTCTCCATGTCCCCATCCTGTAGATGATTCAGCATCACTGTAGTAATCCTCATCCTCAACTTTATTACTATGATGAGCTACAGAAATAAATGGAACCTTGAAAAAATCATCAGTGGAACTATTACTACCAACAGAAGATGCACAACTATCCGTGTAACTGTGGGTTGAGGTTCCTGGAATGAGGTTGCCCTCTCTCAAACCAACATCACCTGTAGAGACTTCGATATTTTCAGTAGGAAAGGGCGAGTTCGACCTAATCCTATGCAACTCTTGGGGTAAATACATATCATCGGTAGTTCTTGCTAATAGAGGCAAATACCTAACATCTTTTTCAGCGACTTTCCTTTTCTTGATAGATACTCTTTGATCTTCGGAATTTCTAGGCAATTGCCTTTTTTGTGGTCTGGTAGGAAGCACCACCACTAGCTGTCGATCCTTACTTTTCAATATGTTTGGCTCATTCCCTACACTTGTCTGCCTCTTTCTAGATAATAAACCTGAAAGTTCAGGCGCCTGCCGCAAAAAAAACACATGTTCAGATGATTGTTCAATTATTGTTTCAAGCACAAAATAGATTGCAGCATTCCTGCATTTTCATTAATCACACAGAAGAAAAATGAAATAAAATGCACGCAAACAAAGCACAGCAAATCATTGAAACAAAATTCTTTTGATGAGCAAACAGATGACCTAAAAATGCATAGGACATAAAGGAAAAAAAAACAATGTATTTAGGTTAAGGGTTTAGGGAAATTTGTCTGAACTTGTTAAAGGAATTTACCTTCCCAAGGACAAACCATTTGCCACCATGCCAAGCCTGTCGAGTTCTCAGATGAGATTGGCAAACCATTACGTCTAATGGTGATCCAAGTAGTCTTGCTATGTAGCTATCAACTCCAACAATCTTAATTATTTTTGCTTGTTTCCATGAGAAATTGTGGAATACTTCGGCAAGATCACCAGCGGCCCAAACATTTGGCCCTTCGACCGGGGGCGGACAGGGCCTAATCGCACTCCTCGGAACCCTCTCCACTGCTTCCTCAGGCGTCATCGGAAACGAACGATATCTTACGCTATACGTATGGCCATTACCAGAAATAATCTCAGCACAACTCCACGAGCCACCCGAAACCTGCTTCTTGCTCAACACCTCCACTTGATCCCCCTTCTTTAGTCTCATACTTCCGATGATCTTAATTCGAAACAAATTGCAAACCTGTAAAAGATTAAAAATCCAAAATATAGAAATAAAAATCGTTTTTCACTCATTCAGCAGGCCATAGTAAACAAACGGAACAAGATGAGAGAAATAGTAGTAATCAACACAGAAAAACACGATTAGTCGATAACTAAAATATTCCTATACAATGTAAAGGAGACATACATATAACTTCCAATTTTGAAAAGAAGAATAAACTCCAAACCTGAAAAAGGAAAAATAACGTAGAAAACTGACGGAATCGAAAGAAGTCAAATGCAAAATTGAAGTAAAAAGAAAGCAGAATTCGATTGATTGTAAGGTGTTGAAAAAAAAAACAAAGAAAAAGAGGAAACAACGAAATTTAGAGGCTTAGAGAGCGATCGATACCTGTGGAGAAGAATTAAGCGGAGTATGGACAATGCTCTGAATCTTGTTCGGGAATTCTTCAATTGAGTGAAAAATGAAAACTTTGAAAGAGATTTAAGAGCAAGAGTAAATGATAAACAAGTTTAAATTCCCAAACCAATGGAGGAGTCGGAGTAATACGGTGGTGGGGACGGTCCCGAATAGTTCGCTCGGTAATTTCCTGGTCCCTTGGCTGCTGTGTCTTGGCGGCGAGTCGCTTTGGGCCTCTGCCGTTTCGTAACCAATGTGGGCTTTGGGCTGACTGCTCAATTTGGGCTTCGGCTTAATTACCCATATCTCTGCGATTCGACTTCAAATTTAGGTTAAATTACGGGCAGAGTAATATGGTTTAGATTTAATTTCAATTTAATATATAATTGATATTAGATGTGTTTACGGGTCGGGGTGGAAATGTGGAAGTATTCTTGATTCTCGTTCCTAAACTTGTTCATCAGTTGGTTTTTCTTTTTATATCGCCGACTAGTTGGTTTCAATTCAAATTGACAAATGTTTTTTGTTTTAAATCACGTTTCTAGGAAGTGGGAAGTTTATTTCACAGAGGGTGGCTGCTGTGAGCATTCGCACCGGCGAGAGGGAGAGGGACTAGGAGGTTTCACCGACAAGAGGGATTCGAGGGCTGGGCTACTAGGATTTGTCATCGTTATCGAAAATGAGGGTGGCTACCGATTGAGAGGTGTCACGTCGATCGGTTTAGGAGAGAATCATTGCGATTGACCAACGTGTGTATACCCCCTACTTGTTCCTAGTCTCGTTTCAGTTCCATCCCCATGAAATTTCCACAATATCTCGTGGGGATTAGGGTGGGATTAGATTCCCCACGGAAAATTAGTCCCACTTATTATTGTTTTTTAAAATAAATTTCTACTTTTTGTAGGACAACAAATGCGGGGATGATGATTGAACTTCCGACCTTATGAAATCAACAGGATACCTTAACTGCACTAGCATGTATTAGCAAAAAAATTATAATTAAATACATATAAAAAATCTTAAATGACTCTTAAATCGCCTCATAAAAACAATATAATATTTCCTCTTAGTCAATTATTGAATAGTAAAATATAAACATGTCATAATAAGTCCACAATATCTCAACAATAAAGTCGAAAAGTTTATAAAACATGACAAGGTGAGAGATCAAACTCACGACTTCTTAGTTGGAAAATACTTGGCTCCTCAACAATGAGGAAAAACTTTGTCCTCATCACCATTAAATATTTGACAATTAAGAGAGAGAAATACAAAAACATAAACATTTTTTAAATAATAATGAGTTGTCAAGAGGACAAAGTTTCTCCTTATTGTTGAGGAGGCAAATAGTTTCCTTGGTATATATTTCTAATTGGAAAATACTTGCTTCCTCAAGAATCTTGTCCTCTTCACCACCAATTACCACTTAACTATACTCAAATTTGCATCTCTTTAATACTTTTAATTCAAGAGAAGAAACAGCTGAAATGTTAGCAAAAAGAAAAAAGATAGGTTTTAATTATAAGCGTTGAAACCAAGGTTTTAAATGTCGATATCGATGGAAATGTTGAGATCTTAATTTCATTGAAATATAGATAAAATGTCGATGTTGATGAATATTTCTGTAAAAGTTAGAAAAATTAAAAAATCGTAAAAAATATTTAAATTAACAAATAAACATTTTCTCATTTATAAATTAGTTAAAAATAATTAATATTAATATTATATATATTAGTGACATTTTGTTTATATTTTTCATATTTTGTCGATTTTTTTGTACTACGATGAAAATATCGATTCCCCTTTATGTCGATGTCGAACCCATGGAAACCTGAATACATCTATAGAAATGTTGACGTATCAACGGATATTTAGAATCATGGTTGAAACTCGTGGTTGATTGACTCCGAATATGATGTCACTAGGCTTAATAATTAAATAAATAAATAAAATTTTTTTTTTGAGATAAATAAATTAATTTATTTGAAAAAGAAAAAAAAGTGCGATCCAAGTTAGTTTAAAGCCATACAAAATCGTCCAACACGACGTGGCGTCGTATTTCCCCCACGTTTTCCAGCGCATTTTAGTCTCACTTCCTTCTCAACCCAGCCACAGCGGCGCCGTTTTACTGCATCCACATGCGCGCATGTTAGCAAATTCACGTGAAATTTCCAACGCTTTTGGGCGCCAAACTCACCACGTCGAGTTCCGGCCTCCACTGCAATGCGAGCAGCGATTCAACCGTTTTCTCTTCAATATTCGAATTCGAGCAAGATTATGGCGTCTGGTTCGAGTTCCTTGATGTGGTTTCGGAAGGGGATAAGAATCCACGACAATCCGGCGCTTGAATTTGCGGCCAAGGGCGCCAATTTTCTCTACCCCGTTTTCGTCATCGATCCGCATTACATGGAGCCTGATCCCACTGCGTTTTCTCCCGGATCATCTAGGGCTGGACTCAACCGCATTCAGTTCCTCCTTGAGAGTCTCCTGGACCTGGATTCCAACCTCAAGAAGCTCGGCTCGCGCTTGTTGGTTCTGCACGGGGAGCCTGGCGAGGTCTTGATTCGCTGCTTGGAACAGGTATTTGTAGCGATTTTTCATGTCGTCTCAAAGGATATAGCTATTTTCGAATGGGAATTATTGTAAATTCATTCGCTCTCTTGCAGTGGAATGTCAAGAAGCTTTGCTTTGAGTACGATACAGATCCTTACTACCAAGCTTTAGACATTAGAGTTCAAGTAAGCTTGCTTGTTTGACGTTTTATGATACCTTGGCTAATTTTGAGTTCGAAGATGTGAGTAGTTCCAGAAAAGGAAATGAAAATTTCTTGCTCATTTTTGGGAAATCGAAATAGTATATTTTTGTTTCTCGCAGAATCGTGCAACTGCTGCTGGGATTGAGGTCTTCTCTCCTGTGAGCCATACTCTGTTCAACCCGGCAGACATTATTCAAAAGGTTAGTTTAAAAGGTCTCTATTTTAAATCAGTGTTCTTTTGTCGAATTCGTTGTTTAACTTTTAGTTACATTTCCATTTTTCTCACCATGTTTTATTTTCTAATGATAATTGTTGAGAAGAATGGGGGCAGGCCTCCACTGACTTATCAATCCTTCCTAAAGCTTGCTGGTGAGCCCGCATGGGCCTGTGCTCCTCTATCTCCCACGCTTTCTTCACTTCCTCCAGTTGGTGACGTTGGAAGAACTGAGATTTCAGATGTTCCAACAATTGAAGATCTTGGTTATGAAGACATGGAAAAGGTTTGAATCTTCATATAATTTAGTATGAATCTGTCGCCCGTACGTTTCATGAGCAATAAAAATTAGTTCAATGCAGGATGAATGGACTCCTTTTAAAGGAGGCGAAACGGAAGCCTTGAAAAGGCTGAAAGAAACAATGAGTAACAAGGTACAGCTTCTTCCTGAAAATTCTTTCAGGTTCTAAGCTCTATCTCTATGGGCTCATCCTTTTATTTCTTTCTTTTTGTGAAAACAAGAGGAAGAGATTCAATACTTTGGAATTTTCCCAACACACCTAAATTCATTAACAATAGTCTTTAAATAAAAAAAAAAAAAAAGAACCATGGAACAGACAGCCTAGTAAATGAACATTCCTATTTGGGTAAGTCAGTGATGAACATGCAAGGTTTCCTGATCGGAATTTTGCAGGATTGGGTGGCAAAATTTGAGAAACCCAAGGGTGATCCATCCGCATTTTTAAAGCCAGCAACAACTGTCTTGTCACCCTATCTGAAAGTGAGTGAAGTGTTGAAATTTTTGTCATCGATTTGTACGTTTGCTATTTTTTTCACTTTGGTATGTAGTAACGAGCTTTTTCCCACTCTTTATTTCAAGTTTCTTTTCAATTTTTATGGCAGTTTGGATGTCTCTCTTCCAGGTACTTCTACCAATGTGTTCAAGAAATATATAAAAATGTCAAAGGGCATACGTCACCGCCAGTTTCCCTTATTGGACAGGTCAATTAATTGTGCCTATGAGACGTGTAATTTTAAGGTGTCTCTGTAGTTAGTAACAAAATATATATTTCTCCCTTGACAGCTCTTATGGCGGGATTTTTTCTATACTGCAGCTTTTGGAACACCTAATTTTGATCGGATGAAGGATAATAGAATATGCAAGCAGGTACCTAATATTGCACAGCTTCTCTATTCATCTGAACTAAGCCATATAAATGTAGCCTTCATGCATAGAAGTGAATGGAATATGTATTCCCAGCGTTTGCGTTTGAGAATCCTGTAACTAGGTATCAGCATTCACGTCCAAGAATCCTGTATCCAATTTAAACAACAACGGAATCATCTATAGAGTATTGAATAATGGAACTACCGCTTCTCTTCGTTTCAAAATTTTGTCATCAGTAGCTGTCCCAACAAGTTTTGAAATCGTTTGCTACCACGTATAGGATATGCAGAACTTAGACGTCACCAACTGTTTGAAATCACCAAGTACTTTTATCGTCGGATACGTAGAAGTAGGATGTGTATATTCAGGAAACTGTCTAGGACTTGGGCTGGGCGCGGGTGTCCCGGGTATAGGAGAGCAAAGCTCCGACTCCCAGTTACCCCAAAAAAAAAGGAAAAAGAAAAAGTCAGAAACGGTCCTGCAAATGTGATATCCTTTCTTAGTTTAATCATGTGAGGTAATCAACCCAAATCCAGTATCTACTGGATTAGAAGAATTGTTTAAAGAGATTTAAGCTATTCAACTATCAGGATTAACGTAACAAACGTTGACCCATGACCTGGTAGCATTATTTGTTTACTTAAGGCTGTACTTGCTAAAGTGAACAAATAAAAAAATGTAGATACCTTGGAATGATGACAATGAACTCTTGGCGGCTTGGAGAGATGCAAGGACAGGATTTCCTTGGATTGATGCCATCATGGTGCAGGTGAGTCTAATTTATCCTTTTACAATACTCTCTTAATATTTAGGTGGGTGAACATAGTTCTACTAGGTCATGAGATAGTGAAACAATATTTTTTTTTTTTTTTTGTGTTTTTCTATTGTAGCTTCGTAAATGGGGTTGGATGCACCATCTAGCAAGACATTGTGTTGCATGTTTCCTAACTCGGGGAGATCTGGTAAGTGACTTAGCTTGGAAAATATTAAGGCATTG